CGCCCCCCCCCCTCCCCCCCCCCCCCCAAACGGAGATGCAGCCTCTTTCCTCCAGCTAAAAGGAATGAGGCTGGTACAAGCAGCAAGTAGAGGGGAGCAGTGCCACTGCCACTGCCTGTGCCCGAGACTGCATCCCTTCCATGTGCAGCAGCCATAACCCCCTCCACTCCCACCATGATGACAACCACAACCAGCAGCACCAGCACAGCAACCTATTCCACCCCTATTTCACTTCCTATGCTGAGCCTTCTAGTGCCAGAAGAAGAGCTGGTGCTGGATCTGGATCTTAGTGCCCCAGCAAAGGAAATTCTGGGGAAGAAAGGGGAATCACCTGAGTTTGTGCTCGACACCCCTCAAGTTTCCCTTTGAGCCAGGTCTCCTTCCCCAGAAGGCACTTCAGAGGAGGTTGATGTAGAGGTGGAGACAAGCAGCTTAGCTGATTCTGCTTCTCCTCTTGCTGTGCCTCTGCCTGCTGAGGAGAGGGAAAGTGCATCAGCATCCACAGATGCACCTGCATCCCAGAAGTGAGTGTGTAATGTGATTTGGGATCATTTTGAGCTAGCAGTTGATCCCCTGTATGCTATCTGCGTGCAATGCTGAGCCCAAACCAGCCAGGGCAAGGGAACAAAACATGAGCACCATGGGGATGCTGATGCATGTCCTCAGATACCACCCCCTTGCCCTTGCTCTTCCTCATCCTGGAACCAGCAGGAGTGTGCTCAAAGGGAAGTCCCCTGCTTGCTTCAAAGCCCCCGTCCCTCCAAAGCAGAGGCAAACCACCCTGGAACAGTGTGGGAAAGGTGGACAGAAAGGGGGGCAGTTCCAAAGGTGAGTGAGCTCACCCAGAGCATTGGAGAGATGCTTGCTGTTGATGGCCAGCCATTCTCCCTAGTTGAGTGGCCAGCGTTCAGGCAGGTCATGGCACTTGCGGTCCCATCATACCAAGTGCCCGCATGTACCACCTTCAGTAGGACAGTGGTGCCATCCCTGTATGAGGCGTGCACGGAGTACTTGATGGAGGAGCTGCTCAAGGCAGGTCCACAGGTGGCCTTACACTTCACTTCAGACATCTGGAGTAGTCAGGGTGGAGATCATGCCTACCTCTCCCTCACAGGGCACTGGTGTGGCCAGGCAGGCTGTTTCGGGGCTCTCCTTCAAGCTGAGGTGATAGATGAGTCCCACACAGCAACAGAGATCATGGGGGCCATGAACTGCTTGGAGGAGCTGTGGCTCGCTGGGCAGGCCGAGCTCACCTGCAGGTTCATGGTCACTGACAACGGGGCCAATATGGTCAAGGTGGTCTGTGATGCCAATTTTGTCGGCATCCACTGTGTGGCACACAGGTTGCACCTTGTTGTTAGGGATGCCTTGAAGGGGGACAGGGCTGCCAGTGATGGTGCTGCCACAACCAGAAAGGTAACTTCAAAATGCAGGAAGGTGGCAGGCTACATCCACTGGAGCATCAAGTGGGGCAAGATGCCGCAGGATAAACAAAAAAAAGTGAACATCCTGCAGCACAAAATCATGCAGGATGTGGAGACTTGGTGGAACTCCACATACCTGATGCTCAAGAGGCTGGTGGAGCAACAGAATGCCATCCATGAGATGGCCTTGCTCAGGGAGATCGGGATCAGTGGTCCCCTGAACAGAGCTAGTGGGATA